TTTTTTTTTTTTACTTTAATATGCTTTTATTTATTAATTTATATACTCGTTTATGCTTTGATAGAGTGGACGCCGGCCATTTCTTCAGCTTCTCCATCTTAATTGAGCATGATATCTCACTCCCTATAATTTATTGTCGATAAGCCTGTATATCCTATCCCTAAAATATAATGTGACACCCATTTGTTTTTCGTTTTACTGCTAAATATTCTTTTGGATTATTGACAAATTTAACACTATTTACTATCTTTTTTTTAATTATATTTTTTTATTTCAGAGTACATGCCCAGCGGGGAGGTCAAGTCAAAGATGACAAAGGCGAGGCCCGAAACTCGGTCTCGTGGAGACGTCGACAGTATATGTTGTGTATATAAACAATATATTTTTAGTATATGTTTCGTATACACAATCACATAAATGTTTTCAATGAATTGACCTTAGTATCACGGATATGTTACGTTTATATATAGTATATTTTTTAATATATGTTCCCGTAAGCACAATGGACAGTATATGTTGCGTGTATAGGCAGTGTATATTGAGTATATGTTTTTGTCGTGTGTTTCTCATATGGCCCGTACTTCATTTGCTTAGCATATACTCATATACTAAAATAATTTATTAAAATAATGATTATGATCAATTTATGATATATATGTAAGGATATATACTGAACAAAAATTTAAATATTACAATTGTGATTTAGATAAAAATGCGATGTAAATAAAAAATCAGGTTATATACGGATTATATACTGACTATAAACGCAATATATACTATCTATTTTGGACAATAAATATTTTCGTTGTTTACAAACTTAAAGAAAACATATATATTTTAGGTAGTTGATGGATATATCTTGATAACTCCAATTAAAAAAAAATAACAGTATATATATATATATATATGTGTGTGTGTATTATATTTTATTTCCTAGATTAGGCAAATCAATTCCAACACATGTTATTCTCTCTCTCTTAAAACTTATGATTGACGTGAATTAAGGATATCAGTTATCATTTATTTAGGTAACTGATAAATAATGATAAGCTCAATAATGGTAGATATATAATATTTTCACTCATTTATGGTATAGATGCAAAAAAAATATGGTGAGTGGTAAATCTGTAATACTTTGCATATTATTGGGTCCATATGTAAATTTCCCATTCCTATTTTGACAGTAAAACCAACCTTATCCAATCTTGAGGCCTAACAAAACCAACGACCCTCCACACTTTCAATTTGTCCAAAAAAAAAATGGGCCTCCTTTTTATCAGATCATCTTCACCATCCTCTAATCGACTGGTTCTCAATGCGCTGAGCCATTTTTTATGGCGGAAACCGCCATTTCCGTACGCCAAAGAATACCCTCAGCCCAGGCCTTCTCCGGCATTTGGGCTGACAAGAGGTTTCCATTCGGGCTTGGCTATGCGAGCCGGGTGCACTGTAGCCGATTGTTCTGATGCCGAGGATGCAAAGTCTTCGGATGAAGGGCTTGAGATCTCGAAGCTTGGGATTTCAGCGTTGGCCAGTAGGGGAACCCAGAAGCTCTTCCCAATTCAGGTCTAGATATAAATTGAAAAAGCATCTTTTGTATTTTCTGTTGATTACCAGAGGTATTTACCAGTTCATGTCTAATTCTAGATATAAAATGAAAAAATAAATAAATAAATAAATAAACCCTTTGTATTTTGTCTTAATTCAGTTGTGGTCTGATGTCTTGTAACAGCTCCTGTTACTGGAAGCATTTATTTTGGTGCATGAATAGTGATAAAATTGTTCAGTACATCAGCCCTTAGTCAATTTATACTCAATTGAAGTTAGAAAATTAAAAGAAGAAGAAATATTTTTTATTTCGGTGGAGGAAGCTGTTGTGTATTATGTTGAGAGCATTATGATTCAACACAGGAAATATGTACCCTTTAGTTCATATTGGCTTATGGTCGTTTCGGGTGATTTGTTGGATATGATTGCTTATCTTGATGGAAGTAATTTTTGTAATTGCAGAAGGCAGTTTTGGAACTGGCCATGCAGGGGCACAACATGATTGGGCGGGTTAGTTGGATATGATTGCTTATCATTAAGTTCAAGGAGAAAAATGGGTTAGTTTTGTACTTCGAACAATCCATATTTCAATTTTATTTTATTTGAAAGTGTGAATATTGAAGAATATTTTTTTTGCTTCTTTTACATTCAGTCAGGCAGAGATCCTTTAGCTTCTTGGTCCTACCAGCGAGCTTGCTAAACAAGTCGGCACAGAATTTACTGAGTCTGCCAAGAAGTTAGATACTATGTATGTGTTCATAGGGATGTTGCAATAGCCCGCCAAATGAGTACTCTAGACCGTGGTGCTGATGTGGTTGTCGGGACCCCTGGCCGAGTCCTTGATTTGATCACTTGTGGGGCCTTGAATGTGTCAAAAGTGCAATATGTTGTCCTTGACGAGGCTGATCAGATTCTTAACGTGGGTTTTGCTTATGATGTCGAGCTTATCTTGGAATATATTACACAGAAGCATCAAACTATTATGTTTTGAGCTACAATGCCAAACTGGGTACAAGAACTCACTCAAGTATTCTTGAGGAATCCAGTTACCATCGACCTTGTAAGACATAACTTCACGCTAAAGCTCTAGCTATATACTTATTTTATATATCTTTTCCTTACTCTTCTCAGCAAGTATGTCAGTTGTCTTTTGTATATTCTTGTACTGTGGCTGACCTTAAGCTCGTTTACTTTAAATATGTATTGCAGCTGGGTGATGTTGAATCAAGTGCTGCGAGTGATGCTATCGAGGAGCAAACACATCAACATATTGATGCTCGCTCAAAGGCTAGGTTTGTGTTTAAATAAGAAAATATCAAACCTAATGCCTTAATTAGTTAAATGTAAAATAACACTAAATTAAATCTCGAAACTCTGATTAAATGTAAAATACTGCTAAACTAAAATGTAAAGTAATACTAAATGTAACTGCAGTACGTTTCTTAAAATTCATCTAATAAATGTTCAGTTCTCTTTTAGTTTTTTTTTTTTTTTAATTTTGATAGCTTCTCTATGCGATCTGAAAGAATGCGGAGAAGATGTCGACAATCTTTTCAAACTTTAAAAAGAACAATGCGGAGCTTGATTTAGATCGAAATCGTCTTGTCCAAGTGTACCATATGCCACTTTTTTAACCAATAAATACAAATATCATGGCCTGAAAATACTACACTTGTCTGTTTCACAGTATTGTTATTTGACATTACATCTAAATGACATTCTTGCCCTAGATTTCTTTTTATTTATGATTTAAATATTGTTTTTATTGGTTTTATTATTTTTTCAATGGATAATTTTGTTGTGCTGCGAGAAAGTTTTTTTCTCAAGATACTTTGGACAAAAATTTCTCCCGCGATGAATTTAAAGATATGATTTAACATCGTGGGAAGATCAAATTTGTTGAAATGGAGAAGAATGTACATTCTTTGGTAGAGGCATGTGCTATTTTCGACGGGAACATATTTCCGCGTCCATTAGACCGTACCACCCAAATTGAACTATTGGCATTAAAAAAAGTGACATATTGGTGGTGAATTTATAAATTTGTGATATAATTCAGTCCCGTCATTTTAGCATTATTGGCTTTTGGGGAGGTATGATCTTCTTCCTCAAGCTTCTCCCAATAGCCAATAATGCCAAAATGACGGGTCTGAATTCTATCACAAATTATGAATTCACCGGTGACCAATAAGTCGCATTTTTTGAATGCCAATAGCTCAATTTGGGTGGTACGGTCTAATGGTCACGAAAATCTGCTCTCGTCGAAAATAGCACATGTCTCTACAAAAGAATGTACATTCTTCTCCATTTCAACAAATTTGGTCTTCCCACGATAATGAATCATATCTTTAAATTCATCGCGGGAGAATTTTTTGTCCAAAGTATCTTGGGAAAAAAACTTCTCTGCTAAATTATCCCTTGAAAAAATAATAAAACCAATAAGAACAATATTTAAAGCATAAATAAAAGATACATGGGGCAAAAATGTCATGTAAATGTAATGCTAAATAGCAATACTGTTTTAACAGACAAGTGTAGCCTTTTCAGGCCATGATATCTGTATTTATTGATTAAAAAAGTGGCATCTGCTACACTTGGACAACCAAGACGACTTCGATCTAAACAGGCTTCACATTGTTATTTCTAAAGTTTGAAAGATTGTCAACATCTTATTCGCCTTCTCTCCGATGATCGCATAGAGAAGCTATGAAAATTGAATAACTAATGAGAACTAAACATTTATTAGACTGATGAATTTGAAGGAACGTACCACAGTTAACTTCTCATCGGACAACTTTATAAGGGAACACGGGGGTTCACCAAAGAATACAAGCTTCTTATAATCAGTCTCAAGTATTTTTTTTACCGTTCTGTCAATCTAACGAAATGAGAGGTCTACCTCCGGAAGTCTGTCCGACACAAACAGAAAATTCTCTTCGAGAATTTGGTCAACGTAAGTCATCCTGTGACACACCATACACATCGGTAGTTCATAAAAAAACTTAAAAACGACACGGCGAGAAGGCTCATCAGGGACAGAGGGCTTATTGTCCGAAGAGGCAGAGGCGGAGACTCGATTGAACTACAAGAAAATAGAGAAAAATAAGTAGGTAATCATCTCTACCAACTTTTCATAAAGAGTTCAATAGAAAAACATTACAAACTTGTCATGTTCTCAAATTACAATTTTTTTAATTTTTTTATTTTTTATAAATTTACTGTAAACCTTGTGAGAAACATAGCTTTTTTGTGCTCAAAAGATTGGGAAAGTGCTGTGACTTTTGGAAATTGGACTTAACAAAATCATGTCCAAGTATATTTTCATTTTATCCATCATTTATCAAAGAACAAGGTGGTTTCACTTTGTTTTTATCGGGTTATGGGGTGCTCACTTTTTAAGGGAGCGAAATTGTTGTCGAAATTCATAAACGATGTTTTATTTCTATTGAGGGTCAATTTGGTTGGGTTGATTAAGCATGATATCTTGCATTTTGCTATTAAATCAATACGTTTAAGGCGTTTGGTTCAAACATGCCTAGCCCGGTAAATGACTAAGGCCTGGTTGCTGATCATTTCATTTGTTTATGTCTTATCCCACCTTCGGGCTAGGATGCCACATCAGGCGTTTCCTTTAGAAAATGTAGAATTACAAAAACACCCTTCCATAAATATTAAAACCAATGTGAATCTCGCCTCTTTCCTCTCACAAATCGTTTTCTTGAGAAACCCTAGCAGAAAGCCCATGAATTCAAAATGCTTTTCCCAAGCCGAAACATCATCGAAAAGCTGACAAATCTACCAGTTTCCTAGCAAAAAATGTTCCTATTTAATCTTGTGTATTAGATTCTACTTTATTACTTTAAAAAAGAGCATAAGTTGATGATTATAGTTTTCCTTTTTCCAGAACCGCTATATTGTTCGTGGAAGTGATCAGGCGAGTTGTCATGATTTTCTTTTTCCAGATGTGCTTCATTGTTATGCCATTTCAATTGAACCAGGTTATAGAAATTCTGCCCTACTGAGTTTTATATTTCTTTTCGATTACAACTGCGACCTTGGTGTTCTGTAGATCAACCTTTCTTACGTTTGAATGATAACTGGTTCATTTCCATCAAAGCCAGGAAATACGAGAAGCATTTACATGGCCAAAGTAAATTGGACATGGAAAATTTTAAATTTTGAAAGTTAATTTTCATTCTCAAGAGGTTTTAAATTCTCAAGAGGTTTTTAGTGGTGAAACAATAGTAAAATATTGAAAATATTCCCAACTTTGTTATATTGTTGTAAAGCCCCATTTATTTGTGGTTTATTTGAAGTATTATTATTATTATTATTATTATTGTTGTGATATATTAATTATTGCTTGCCAATTTGAATGTCTAAATATTATATGTCTAATTGCCAATTAATTGCTAATTGTATATTTTGATTAATAATATTAGTATTTTAAAATCAATGTGCGTATTTAATGTATATTGTCCGGAGTTTTGTTTATTTATCGTGCGATCGATTGGAACTGTCGAAATTAGTAATCGGAGAACCCGAGCCCGAGAGCTGGAATTATTTTCGTGTGATTGAATCGGGCCTGAGCCGAATATATTTCGTGCGATTTTATCGGGCCCGAGAATATGCGTTTGAACCGAAACCGAGCACGTGAGCCGATTTATTGTCGCAAACCAGCCCAACCGACCGGCCCGCGAGCCAAAAACCGGCCCAATGGCCCAAACCCGGTTCTCTCATTGTGAGCGTGATATTTATTTCTTGTAAACCAGGAAAGTCTTTAACCTAGTCTATGTATCTCTTCCTCTCTCTCTCGATCGAAAACGCGCAGCAATCTCTCCAATCTCCCTCCCTCGCTTGCGTTTCGGCAGAAGGAGAAAAATCTCATCGACCCTCGCCCTCGTCTTCCCCTTCTTCTGCGCGCACAGGCCGTCCATGAGCTATTCCCGGCGAGTCCCTGCCATCGGCGATCTGAACCACCGCGAGCTGCCATAACCTCCCTTCCCTCCGCGAGTTTCCCCCGTCTGCAACTCCGAGCCCTCCGCCGTCCCAGCGTCCTTTCCGGCGACCCTCCACCGCGAGCGACCACGGTGTGCTGCTGCTCACGCGAACGAGAAAAATGACCCACGGACGATCCCCGCCATCTCCTCCGCGAACCAGCGAGTTCCTCTGCTTGCGAACAACAACCCCTCGACGACCCCCACCCACGAAGCTGCTCCACCGCTCCTGCAAGCCCCGTCGAGGTCATTTCCGGCGAATCCCATTCACGAACAGCAGCCTCGGCGAACTTCTCTTCGCTGCACCTCCGCGAGCCGTCATCCTCAGGCTCGCAGCCCCTCGCGAAGGCCCCGTTCAGTCGCTGCTCCTTCCCCGGCGAGACGCGCGTAGCCGTCGAGCCCGTCGACCCGTAAATCCGTTCGAACCATTCTCACGCTTTCCGAGAACGGTATCGAGCCTTGGCCCTTCGTTGATTTAAATTTCGTGTTCCTTTAATGCGATAATCGTGCTCTGCGGATTTATGTGCTCAATGATGTTAATTGTTTATGAATTTCTTGTGATGTTATATAAACACTATTGTTGTGAAGTGCTCGTTGAACAATGTAATATATGTGTGAATCGCTTGATGTGAATATGTGCGATTATGTTTTATTATGATTTTATGTGTTATCGTATGTTCGGGATCTCTTCGATTTTCTCAAAAATCGAACGAGACCTCGAAAGTCGTGTAAGTTGGGGGATATGGAACAATGTCGAGTCCTTGGTCTTATGAAAAGGCCTCGGACAATAAATTGTGTGTTGTGATTTACTTGTCAAGTTGTCGAGCTTGTTAGTCGCTGTTTTGATGTTCGAATTTTTAAAAATAGCTCGCTGCTCGAAACGATGTGAAATTTTGAGGGATGTGTTATTTGTTCATTTCCTGCCTTATGTAAAATTTTCATAATTTTTGGAGACCTGTAGCTATTTTAAATAATTAAATTGTGTTCTGTCCAGAATATTGTTAAATGCATAATAAATTCATTCCTGAGTAAAATGAGCTGAAATTTGAATATGTCATGCCTCTGTGTCTTATATGTGTTGTGTTAAATTTTCAGAATTTTTGGAGTTGATTTGATATGGATAATATTTTATTTATTGATTCTGCAGAAGTGTTGTTTGAATTTTTAAAAAATCGGTTACTGCATGAAAAATTCTGAAATTTTACTGAGAGTCATATTTTAGGTGTTTGATCATGTTTGTAAAATATGGGAATTTTTAGAGTCCGTTTGGTTTCAGTTTGGATTTAAATTCGATAAACTGCTGTTGCTCGTTTGAATTTTTAAAAATAGCAGCAGTTATCATTTAAGGCTGAAATTTTTATAAGTGGACTTTGGCATACTGTATGTTGCTGTGCAAAATTTGCAGGTTCATTTGCATTCATTAAGTCTGAGTATGAATTAAGGTGCCCTTTTTGCTGAATTACTGTTCGAATTTTATAAAATGGGGTATTTTGAGTTTAAAGCTGAAACTTTGTGGTTTTACATGTTTCTGGGAGATGAAATTCTGTGTAGATTTTCAGAGCTTAACTTGTAGGGTAGTTTGACCATCTATTTTCATGCGATTAAATGATTTCTATTTCCGAACATGATTTTTATATGAAATTTTGGGAGTCAACTTGCCTTTCGTTTTTTATGTGAGTTGACTTGGTCAATCCTTAGATGGATTTGTGTAAACTCCCTTATGTTGTTGGTCGAGTTTAGAGCCGAGTCTTAATGTTCCAACATCCACAGGACTTCACGAACTACTTAGTCGAAACGAGTTCGACTAGGTCTGTCTTGTGATTTCCGATTTAAGTCGAGATAGACTCTGATTGTAGGATCTTGCCATCATGTAGGTGTCTAGAGGTGTGGACCTTGCCTTATTTCGAGATTTGTGACTGTGAACCGTGCTGCTATCAGGTGGGTACATTTATGATGTATTCCATATTTATCGCACTCCTTATTTCGTGTAATACTTTCTTTTGAAAATTATTGTATGCATGAGAACTCTAGTCTAAGTGTCCCGAACGATAGTGCCTTTGACGAATGCATAACAGTGAGAGGTCACCTGCCCGTTGTATCCGGGAGGCGACGCCCTGATCCGTGTGAGTTTCGGGGGGGAAAAACATCTCCACTGTCTCCTGGAAAACATCCATGATCCGTGAGTAGTTCGGGGTGGACTCCCATGATCCGTG